ATTTCCTGGTTTATTTTTGTTTAGTAAGCACCAGTTAACCATAATGGAACTAAGACCTTTAGTTGCAGGTAGGCAATGTGTGAATATAGGTAAGCTGAAAATGTAGATGATGCGTGGACATAACAAGTTTTGAAATAAGAGAGGTGAAAGTAATAAGACACTGCTGGAATTTGAGTCTTTATGTAATTTTGTGAGCTAATCAGTGTATTTTGAGTTTCAGTAGCAACTTCTTTTATCTTGATATAAAGGCAAAATAACTTCTTAGGAGTCTACTAGCAAATAAGTTATTGGAGCTTCTTAATTTAATTTGCCGGCTAGTATTTATTTGTTTTTGTTAAGTTTGATGTGATAGACTGCAAATTTGGAACAATAAGTGTAAGACAACTTTCAGATTAGTATAGTTTTGAAAGCCTGCATCCTATTTGAGCTTTGCCTTCCTATTGTTGACACATTGCAGATGGTAGTTTTAATTTCAGATGGATATTACTTTTATGGTTATGGTCATTGTGTTATGACATTCTAGTTTTGATATTTGGTATGAACTAGGGCAATCATACATATGGCTCTAATTTGGTGAGGAAACCAGAGAACCATGATGGATCGGACAACTTCTCATCTGATTCAGAGACTAGTGAAACAACAAAATCAGATTTGATGAGCATACCAAGTAGTACAAATCAACTTTCGGATATGGTGGTTTTCAAATACTGTCTCGGAGGCCTATCTGAGAGGGCTGTTCTGCTGAAGGAAATTGCTTTATCTGCAAGAGAAGAAGAGCTAGTGAAGTTTGCAGATCAGGTTTCTCTATTTTCAGGTTGTTCCCACCACAGGTAATAGATCTTGTTACTTTGACTAATGCTAATCTATAGCATCAATACTCATGCACACTAGAATGTGTCTATATGTTAATGCTAGGAAAATGACAATGCCAGAACTTAGGAATTCAAGGCTCCACTTTTTCTCCTTTTTTTCTGGGTGTTATATTTAACCATGATCTAGTGTTTTCCTCCTTCACTCTCCAGTGTACGTGGATTGACTGTACTTGAAATCCTTTTCTAACCTTGATGGGGAAGCACACAACTCACTAAATGAATGAAAAGTGCCAAATCGTCATTTGAAAGAAACCACAATCACAAACCATATGCACTAGAACCACTATCATGAAGAGATTGCCTTATCAAGTTATATGAGGAAAATGGATCCGCTTATGTCTATTTGCTTGTGGTTATAGAAGAAGTTGGAGTTTGTGGGTTATGAAATGTTTTTCTTGATTGATTTACTTAACTTCTGATTATATTGATTGCTCCTACTTTAACTTCTGGGGTGCCACAAACGAACCAGAAATGTGAGTTGTCATGCCATGAAAGTAGCTACTGTACTTCTTCTACTAACAAGGTCAAATTTAATTTGAGTCACTAGGAATCTGTTGGGAACTTTTTGAATTGATTGTTCTGCTTCTAGTTTTGGGTTTCAGCAACTTTGTCTAGGACTAAGCATCATAGATATTAATTTTTTTGCCTCTAGTTTACATTGAACACTTTATGTTTTTCCCAGACATCAGATAATGATTGCAAAAAGATTGATAGAGGAAGGAATTGAAGCATGGAATTTAATATCTCAGAAAAATGACCATGTTCTTTGGGAGAATTTGCTTTCTGGGGTTAAAGAGCATTTTGTGAAGATAGTGCCCTGTGGTACCAGATCTTTAACACACCAGGTCTCTCTCTCTCTCTCTCTCTCTCTCTCTCTCTCTCTCTCACACACACACACAAACATATTGGAGAATTTCTAAATATTACTCCTGAAAATTTTGACCTTTTTGTGTCCCAGGATGTGGAACTTCTTAGGGGAATTTCTGGTTGTCAGGAGTTAGTGTCACAGGATCATTTTGAGAAAATGTGGTTTTGGCTGTACCCCGTAGCTTTATCATTGTCTCAAGTCTGGATAAATGCACTATGGAGTTCTGTGTCACCCAAATGGATAGAAGGGTTCATTACAAAGGAAGAAGCAGAGTCCTCTCTTCAAGGTCCAGGAGGCTTTCAAGAGCCAGGGACTTTTGTACTGCGTTTTCCTACATCAAGGAGTTGGCCTCACCCAGATGCTGGCAATCTGGTTATAACTTACATTGGTAGTGACTATGCTATTCATCACAGGCTGCTGTCTCTTGATCTCATGTATAGGTATGCTCTGTATTGGCCATCATTTTGTTCCTTGTAAACAGATAGTTTATCATATAGTCCACCAGTACATAAGTTTATGTAGAATGGAATTTTTCCTGGATATTAGTCCACCTCATCTTCAAAGTATAAAAGAAAGGACGTGTTTGGCTGGGGAAAGGTGGGTGGGTGTGCAGAGCTCTACGTTGCATGGTTTCATCTTCAATTTGGACCTTTATAAACAAGGTTGAATTGAGAAAGTGAGTCATTGTGTTTTTGTAACTCAGACAATGATAATTTCATGTTAATTTCCTTTTTCTTGAAAATATTTGTATATCTACGAGTCTGGAGAAAAGTTTTCATGTGGACACAAAAGCTTGTGATGATGGTTAGACTCTTCTTGGGGTTGACCTTTAAAGTTGCTGGACGAGTTCCTTTACCAAATGAACACTGTGTGGCTATGTTGAAATTGCTGGTTGTATGGGTCTAACACGAGCCTTAACAAATAGATATAAGGGAACATCATTTGCTGTTTAGACTAGAAGTTGATGCATATGTTCATGATGTTTGATGAGGAACAATTCAGTTAAATACTGAAGTGTCAGGTTTTGGTCATTGGTTATATACTTTTTACTCTTTGATCTGTTTATTTAACTTGTGGATGCAATACAATGATGCACATAAAAGTGAAATGGTTGTAAAGCCTGATTCTTCTGTATTATTTGCTTGTGTAATCCTTGGCGGAAAAAAGCTTTAATTTCTGCTACGAGATTGTCTGAATGAATCATTTCCTTTCTGTGTTTTAGTTCCAGGGACAGGACAGTAAGACCTCTACAGGATATGCTGCTTGAAGAACCGGAGCTCTCTCGATTGGGAAGGCATGACATCTTTTACTAAACGTTAATCACAATTGATTTGAAATTGCTACTTTTGCTGTTTACTCTTTATGATGGTAGAAATCTTTAAACTGCAGGATTCAAAGAATTCACTAGGCCAGTCATCAGTTGAAATGTAACCTTATGTTTATCAAACTTTCGACCAAACTTTTTAAGAGCAAAACTAGTCAAAAAAGTTGCAGCCATCTACTGTGGAATATGACTAGCATTGAGCATTTTCTTCCTTCCAGCTGATTATAGAAGGTGATGCTGAAAATGCGCTGCAGAAGTTTGGAAGGATAGTGGTCTTGTATATATGTGTGTTTGTGCGAGTATGCAGTGATTGTAAATCCTGAGGGCGTTTTTCCCGAAATTGTTTACAACAGTTTTTAGAATGCCGATGAAAAGTATCAGTCTTGGTTTTCTTTTAGCTGATTAAAATGAGTGTAGTATTGTCATTAAGGAGCGGATGAAATTAAATTTTGTAACAGGCTGAGATATGGCTTTGAACGGAGCATTGGTACATTGCCAAATGATGCAATATAAATTTTTTTTGTTCACTTGGGATTGACTATAATGTTGCTTGTGAAAAAGTAAAGCTTCGCAGGGGAAAGAATATGAAAATTATGGGTTCTTTTCCTGACCAACTGAATGATGTCAATTATTATCTGGAAAATGAGGAGATTCTTTTCTTTTTTATTGAGTCAGTGATGATTATGGGCCTGAACTGTTGATGACTAGTATTATTTATACCCCACTTAAAGGGTATGAATTTGTGGTTGAAGCAAATTACATGTTTTAGATGTAAGGTTTCTAGTTGATGCAAATTGAGTCAAAAAAGCAATGAATGTGATTACTAATAGGAGAACTAATAAATAGTTACTAAATCGTTAAATGTTCCTAAAAATAAGGAACAAAAATGGGCATATGAGTTAGGGGTTTCGGGAGTATTATTTTAAAAAAATTTAAAAAAAGGGTGTTTTTTGATGGTTTTTTTGGGAGTATTGGTTTTAAAAGATATCTTGAATGGCTATTTATGAAAAAAATTGTAAAGATGGTAGAATTTTGTGAAATGTACACCTTAAATCTGAATTTTCAATTAATCATGATTTTACCCTTGAATTTGGTTAAAAACATCTAGAAAATGATACAATAGTTCGGGAAAATAGGACTGCAAACGAATTGTTTTGCTCGTGAGCGACTCAAATCAAAACTCGACTCGAATTCGATCAATATTGACCTCGAGTCGAACTTGAGCTCGAGTTCGAGTTTAAGTTGGCCAAATCGAACTCGAACTCGAACTTAAGATCGAGTTCAAAAATATTAAGCTAGCGAGTTCGAGAGTATATATATATTTTTTTTATTTTAATAGTAAATTACATATATATCCCTAATATTTATTATTTATTAAGCAAAAACTATTATTTTATTTATTTTTTCGAGCTCGAGCACGAGCTCAAGTTTGAATTCAACTCGAATTCGAGTCGAGCTCGAGCTTTAAATTAGCAACTCATCGAGTTTGAGCTTGATAAAACTAAATCAAGACTCGATTTGATTAGGTCAGAGTTTGCCTTGACTCGATTCGTTTACAACCCTACGGAAAATGACGTAGAGCGAATAAAAATATGAGTTGGGAGGGCGATTTATAATTGAGAGGGTTAGGGTTTTTTAAACATAACCCTCTCGATTAAATGCTAAAAAATAGTTTAAAAAGTTTTTTAACATTTTTTTTCGAGTCGAGTTCAATTCTCTATTTTCCAACTTGATCGAGCTCGAACTCGAGTCGAGTAGAATGCCAGCACTGTTCGAGCTGAGATCAAATATAGTACTACTCGAGCTCGACTCGGCTCGCATACACTTCTATCTCCGCCTCCCCTCGAGTCTCTCTGCCTCCGTTACCTAGGGGTGTTAGACCCTAAGGCCTAAGGCATTGACCACACTACTAGAGGTAGAAACATTTTCTTTTTGGAGTGGTAAATGGAAGGCGGCTTTCTCTTACTATTGAACCTCTATCTGCTTTGGAAATTGATTGCGCAACAACTATTGTGCTTGGAAATGTCGTATTTTGGAAAGATCGACTATCTCACAAGCAAGTGGCTTATGACCCTGCACATGGATCCCTTGAATTGTTGCCTCCGCTTGGCGGGGGTTCAAGGGCTTTGGCTCTTCGGTTATCGGACCATTACACTAACTGTGAACGGGGATATTCCATTCTAGGCATGTGGCTCTTTGGTCTCCCAGATTGGGTCGATGCCACGGAAAATGTCTCGTCTATACTATACACGACAGACAATATTTGGAGATATATATGGGATTTTAATGACCATAAAAGAGGTGATTGGATGTTGAAGAGTTGCGATAGTTTTAGGAAAATTTGGCAAGAGAATCGCGATGCGGAGACACACCTAATTGAGGTTGAAGGTTCCACCCATGGGATAGTCATTTGGTTCTGCTAACCTGTTACGATCATCTTTACTTGTATGATGTTAAAAGATGCAAACTGCAGAAACTTGGTGGCTTTCAAAATTAGGGCTTGCTATCAATGCAATCTTTTCAAAAACGAGTGGCCTTGCTAGAGGCAAAGAAGTGCGCAAGAGTTTAAGATTGTCCTCAGTTGAAAGAGTTTACCAGCTTCTTTTTTTTCAACTTAGTTTACTATTTGGCGTGGAACTACTTGTTCCATCTTTTGAACACACAGATTTTATGCAGTTTTTTAACCATTATGAATTGGAGTTTAGCCTTATCGAGCTGTTCTTATCTACTACTCCTCGCAGTGAGAAGAAACAGACATACGGTGATATGCTTCAGATGTATGTATTTAGGTGAATGCTGCAATTCTTGTGGACTTTGAAAAATGATTTTCAACAAAATAACACAAATACAAGTTTTGTACATGGTTGTGTCTTTTTTTTTTTTTTTTTTGGCTTGGTTTATGTCATCATAGGAATTTTGGACATGGGTTTTTTTGGCTTGGTTTATGCCTCCAAAGGAATTTGGAACAAATGTAACAACCTCCGCCTTAGAAGGAACAAGATCCACTTGGAAGTAAATGTCTGTTTTCCAGTTGTATGTTTTTATCTACTGATGTTTTCTTTGAAGTGCTACAATCAGATTTCTTTAATAATTATCTCTCTACTTTGGATAGACATCCGTGGCCTTCCGGTTGCGGTAGATGTGTTTCTTCTTCTCATAATTGGTGTCCCCTTTGGAATTAACATCATCAGTATTTAGGTTAAAACTCTAGGAATTAAGATCTTGAAATCAATACCCCATGCGTTTCTGTTCCAAGCTTCTTAAATTTTTTACCCCTTTCCTACTTTATAAAAAGCAAACAAAAAACTCTATCTATTCCATTGAAGAAGAAAATTTGACACAGGAAAAAAGGAATTGTTGTGAGTTGTCATGGTGCACGACTGACTATAAACTCTTGGAGTCTATAACACTACAGATGAATATCTATTTCTCTTATATATATATATTTGACATGATTATTGCTTTGGTTGGTCAGCTTGATGGACTTTTTTGGAGGAAAGCCCAGAAATTGAATAACTGCAGCGCATGACCATATTCTTGGAGCATGTCTATGTCACATTACAGATGAGTATGGATCTTTTTTTTTTTGCTTTTAATTCACATGATTCTTGCTTTGGTTGGTAGAGCTTAAGAGACTTTTGTGGAGGAAAGCCAGGAAAATTGGTTGGTTGCTTTCACATCAGGAGCTGCATGTTTCCAGAAAAGGTAAAAGTACAGAAGATTGATAAATTCTCAACTTCCGCGGAAATGGGATGGACGGCTGGGCTGCAGGCAGCTGGTGCACAATCCATGGATGCATTAAAGAGAGTTGGTGTTCACATGCTGCGTTTATTTGATCGTTTCTTCAACTTTCTGTAGTTAGTATATTATCACTCTTGTACCAGGTTTAATTGGTTTTGGTTGCATTTATCAGACAATTCCCGTCAGGGTTGAGTTTTTAATAGCAATATTCCTCGAAAAGCAAACCGACCACTTTCAAGCCCACAATTTTGGATGTCGGTTGGCATTTAGTTACTTAGATCCAGCATCGTGGGAGATGTTACCAAGTCGTATGTGAAAATCCATGAATTATTGAGTCCAAATGAGCTGTCGTGGTTCACTTCTCTTCCAATAAGTCCTCAACAAATCACTACCCAAATTTTCATTTCTGAATCCTAATCCCCAGATTGATTAATCAGGTATCTCGTGTGCGCATAAATTCCAAGAAGAAGCGATTCAAATGTCAAAAAAAGTGTACCAGTGTCGGTCCCCTTCACTCTGCTAAACTGTTCTGATCTAGAATTGTCAAACTACTAATCTCAACAGTATCGCTGCACTTGAAACATCTATAATTCTATCATCAAAGTTCAACTAATCACGCAAGCTCCAGTGTTCCCTGTTTCAGTGCAATAGTGACAATTCAGATGTGAATATGACCAGGTCGAAACCAGTCTTTGGATGATACGGTATTCTTCCAGATTATTTCTTATAGCCCTTACTAAGAGATTTTTACCCAGCGTCAGCAAGATTCTTTAGAACTCTTTTCTCTTGATTATTTATCATTGATCAAGAACAAGCCCACAAGGACTAGCTAAATGGCAAATGCCAACTTCTCAGCATTGTATATCACAATATGTGTACTCGCTTTTGTTGCTTCAAAGCTAATTATAGCAACTCTTTGCTACCGTCGCTGGAAGAGAAAACAAATGCTTGTTCAAGACAGTTTTTCAGGTAAGATATTAATTCCAGTGCACTATTTTTTGCTGGTTAGTTCTCCTGAATTTGTACTAAGGTCATCTTTTAATGTCTGAGCACGCAGGTGGGAAACTTGTCTTGTTCAAATCACCGAAGATGAAAGCTCTAAAGACTAATATGTTCTTGAACAAGACCATGAAATTGAGCAACAAGGACATTATTGGATCAGGAGGTTATGGGACGGTTTACAAACTGACCATAAATGATTCTGTATCTTTTGCAGTAAAAAGACTCAACAGGATAAGTGCAGAACAAGATCGAGGCTTCGAGAGAGAATTAGAGGCAATGGCGGACATTAAGCATCGGAATATAGTTACTCTTCACGGATATTATACTGCTCCTAACTATAATCTTCTCATCTACGAGCTCATGCCTAATGGAAGTCTGGATGAACTGCTATATGGTATGCATTTGCATCCATTTTCAGCTTAATCAACTGCTGCAAAACAAAACAACTTGAGAAAAATCACTGTCAATACTTTGTGGATTCTGATTGGCCTGTACCCCTGGTTACTGTGCATGAATTTGTCCTTGAATGTTAGTTCTGAATGTCCTTGATTTAGCCTTATAGATCATGACTCAATGAGCAGGAAAATCTTCGAACGAGAGGGTTCTGGACTGGACTTCAAGGTACAAAATAGCAGTAGGGGCTGCAAGAGGGCTGGCATACCTTCATCATGATTGTATACCGCACATTATACATAGAGATATCAAAACAAGCAATATATTGCTGGATCAGAATTTGGAGGCTCGAGTATCTGATTTTGGATTAGCCAAATTGATGGAACCTGATAAGACTCATGTTTCAACACTAGTTGCTGGAACATTTGGATATCTGGCTCCTGGTATGCTAGATTTGGCTTTAATTTTTCCTTGCTCGTACGTTAGAGCAGAAATTTTTCTGCATTTTGTGCTACTTAAAAAATTATACTACTATTTTATGCTCTTTTGCAGAATATTATGACACAGGAAGAGCAACCATAAAGGGAGATGTCTATAGCTTCGGTGTAGTTCTACTGGAACTTCTTACAGGGAAAAAGCCAAATGATGAAACATTCATCGAGGAGGGAACGAAGCTTGTAACCTGGGTAAAGTTTGAATCAAATGTTAAACACCAATCCTTTAGCATATTATTTTTACGGGATAATCTGAAGGACCCTTATCAACTACATACAAGAGAACCTTCAGTTGACAGGCTGCAGTGCATGAACATATCCTTGAATTGAACCATATTACAAGTAATCACAAAGCATCTGGTACTTTTAAAGGATGGTCCAACACCCACTTTGTGATTCGGATACTAACATGCTCATATGCGACCAAGAGTGGAATCTTCTATGAAAACTAAGATTGCATATACCTGTTATGTTTGGTATACTGATCTCAGTAGTATGACTTTTAACTGTTCTGTGTTTTATGATTTGTTAAGTGAATTCAAGCGGGTAAACAAACATGATAAACCTGTCTCTGTCTCTCATCATAGACTCTCTTCTGAAGTTTGAGATACCAGTAATTGTGAGTTTGGAGAAAATTTACCTTATAACTGATATCAATATCACACTTTTACAGGTAAAGGCAGTTGTTGAAGAGAAGAGGGAGGGAAATGTAATTGACAGAAGGTTAGAAGATTATCATGTTGAAGAGATCAACCAGGTATTCAGTATTGCAATGATGTGCCTCGAACCAGAGCCATCCAAGAGACCTACCACGTCAGAAATTGTCAAGATGCTAGAGCAAGTAAAGTCATACCAATTCGTACCAGATTTGCAAGAAATGCCAATTGCCTAACTTTCCAAAGGATGGAGGGTTCTTATTTCTGGTTATTAGATTAGTGGAGCAATGCTCTTTCCAAAGTGTTCATAGTGTACAAAACAAGATTTAGAGCAGTTCATTCATGTAGAAAGCTATGATGAGCATTGAGTGTCAGGAATGAAAACAACTGAGCAGAAAATCTCTCTTGTTTTCTTTACTTCAGCCATTCAGCAATGCTGTCAATCCACTGGTCACTGAAGCCTTAAGAGTAGGAGAAACTGAATCACTTCCCAGAAATACATCAAAAAGAGCTGATATCACATTTGTTGACTCAATAGTTGCGTCAACACCAGATGGCAGCCCATCACTTGATACAGAAACCTACAGAATTTTTAAGAGAGTCAAGCTGATGTGTTTACAAGAAAGAAAATAGCACAGCAGAAGCTTAAGACTAAGGAGAAAAGAGGAAACACATCTTTAGCAAAAAGCCATCAGCATATAAAGAAATGCAGGAAAATTGAATTTTACTACATACAACTTACAAGCATTTTGGTAGAGTCCAGCCAAGTCAACAAGATAATGGTACCCTTATTAAGAGGCCTCCCTTGAAACAGAGTACTAAATGTAGAAAGAGCAGAGGTATCAACTGGAGTAGGCGATTTAATTCTTGGAGAGATGGCTTCATCTAAGGCATCCCAAAATGTTTTACCATCCACATCTCTCACCAGAACAATTTGCAGAGATTTTTCCAAAGGAGCTGCAGTTTCCAATCAATATTAGCTTCTTAATTTACTTCTCCCTCTCCCCTCTTTCCTTGTTCAATCAGATTTGATAAATGCAAACAGTTTTAGTCAAGATTACCCTGAAAAATTGTGTCAAAGAACTCTGAATCCTGTTGCAGATCTGCAGCAGACTGCCCTTTCCAGGCCTCTAGCCTAGCGAAAATTGACTGATTCACATATAGGCCAGCAGCATACACCTTGACACCAATGACTGCAAAAACTTTCTCCCTGTATCCTGACATTATTGCAATAAATTTAATATTTGCAGAAGATAATTTGTTCAATCAGCAGCTACAATCCCAAATTGAATGGAATCATTTCAAAGTTCATGCAGCAAGCTCCTTAATTTGCACTAAAAGGATGTTTGAGAAACTGACCAGTTCCAGTTAATGGCATTGAGGTGGAGCAGCCTGGAATGCTTAATGACGTTTGGAACTTTACTTTTGTTGCGGGCTCCTCTGTATACTCTGTACTCTCAACTAAACCATAACTCAATGGTAAAAGTGTCAGATTTCAGGCAGGATGATACATTATGATGCTATGACCTATTTTCATCGTTTGTATTTGATTTATAGCCCATCTTCTGCAGTAAGCAAACTTGCTGCTGCATTCTCTCCTAAAGGATGTCTAATGTAAGTAAACTAAGATCTTCTATGAATGTTATATCATCAACATGGTATTTTCAACCACCTATAAATCATCAGGAATCATATAAAACATTCAGGGTTTGCAAAGTGTGAAAAAACAGGAAAAGAAGATATCTTTACCTGTGATTTCACAAAACAGTGATGAATTTAGACTAAAAAGTCACTGACTGCAATTGGAAAGAAGTATGCGAGGTGTTCCCCCACCGCCCCACCCCTTTCCCTTCTACTAAAAAAGGTCCAAAAGAAACAAAAATTCTGGCAGTCTCTCGGTAAATTATGCATTGTTAGTAGAGACACATTTTAAGACTTCAAAATGCCAGGTCACTTCTCCTTTCTTTCCTCAAAACACCAAAATGTATTCTTTCCTCCAATTTTTGGTGATTGCCTATGACATTCTTCTTTTAGTCTGTTGTGCACTGGCTGTTTGAAAACACATGCTGTGCTTCAACCAAGCTACCATCGTCCCGCACGCTTTGGCAGCACAGACAATAATCCATTCTTATCTTCTCGAGTCTCAGTTTTGCTAGTCACCTACCCATTTTACAGGCGGTTTTACATACCTCACAATCTATAGCTAATCCAAGACTTGACTCCCAGATAGACCACTTTACTTTTCTACTTACCTACTTCGTGTTTTCAGTTCTTTTTAGCAGCTTTTGTTTTCGTCAATCAAGAATAAATTCGAGTTGCATTTCTCAATTCTTATCCAGACAGAATTCTTGGAAAGAAGTGGAAAGATCAAGAAAGGAGAATTATCCATTAGGTACAAAGAACCAAAACTACAGCATTATAACTTCTGATGCTTTCAATACTAAAGGCGATGAAGTATTACGGTAAGAAAACAAAAGCTGTATTCAAGAAAGATTCTAAGTAGTGCCCACGAATAATTAGTTTACCTGAAGAAGATGAAGCAGCTTTGAGTGAGAAGTAAGAGTGAAAACTGCCATGTTTCTGAATAGAAAGATGGGTACAAAATCTGGATAAGAGATGATGGTTTTCCCGTTTCAGTGCTGATTCTGTTCTTGGATTGACGCAAGGGGTGCTATCGCACTTGATTTTGGCTGGTGATAAACGCCAAAGGTTAGGGGCAATTGCTGCTACAGCAGCCATTTTCTAAAATACAACTGGAATGTAATTCTTCTGCAGGTATAATGCATAGTCTAGCTACTCTTGTAACAGCCACAATGATAATACTATTGCAAAGCCAATGATGGGAAAAAAAAAAATATGCAGGTCAGATGCATCGAATATTTGGGTCCCATAGATTTTGCTGGCTTATTGATAAGGCCATCATCATAATTAAAACAACAGAGCCATAAATCCCCTAAAAGTGGGGCTTTTACATCAGACAGAAGGGACAGTTGTCGCCTGAGACATGAGAATGCCATGCTATGAAATTTGCAGTAATTTTACAAATTGAACTAGATTTTGGCAATATATGCAATAATTGGTGAAAGAAGATTACTGATATTGGAGGGCATTTTGATAGTACTTAAGATGGTCATCAGTTGCTGGTGAGTTGCCGACAAGCTACAAGCACTGTCCGCAAATCACTACGCAATTATCCATTCGATGAATGGCTTAGTAAAAGTGTTGTAACAGTAGAAAAGTCAAAGTAAGTAATTTTTTTTTTTTTTTTTTGGTAATAAGTAAGTAATTGTTATTTATTGTACAATTAACAAATGCTCAGCTGGAGGCACAAGTAGTTGAACTACTCAAATTTCATTCGTTTGTTTCTCTTGAGAATTGCAGTCTTGGACTTGGAGGAGTTCAGACCTCCAGCATTGTCTGCGTAGTGCCTAGACAAAATATTCCAAGAAGTTGCAAACAATTTAAAAGTTCAAGAATCAAGAGAAACAAAATCCTTTACTGGGCTACTTAGATAAAGGACGGGGAATCTAGATGCAGTTTGGTTTCTGAATCTAGCTTTAAGATGCATTTGGTACCCAAGATCTGTCTTGATTTCCTCGAAATAAATCGACTTTTTAGAAATAAGGGAAGTAGTAAAGTGCTTTCTTGGTGGTGTCCACTAACATGATCTGTGAGATCTGTCTTGGATTAAAAGAGCCAGTGAAGTACAAAGTATAGACAAGATCCGTCCTTTTTCCCTTCCCCCTTTCAACCTTTTCTTTCTTTATATGGGGAAAAAATCAATCATCTTTTCCTTTTTGAAGGAAAATATTCAGTTACACCAGCTACACCATATCAACTACTTGAGGAAAAGAATCAAGAAAGGTTATACAGGATCATCATGTTCAACAAGACATCTGTAAGATTTTGTCTTTTATTTCTCTGATTCTTAAAATGTGCCCAACAAATAAAAAGCCCAAATTCGTAATCGGAATTTTTTTTTTTTTTTGCAGATTTTAAATTATCTTATAACCATTTAGTTGTTACAATGTGATCAATAACACAAGAAGCATTTTTACCAAAAATTCAGCTCCTCCTCATCAATATAATTTGATGACTTGTAATGAGCAAATGCTGCAAAGATGGAAAGTCACAGTAACTGAAAAGTGGCAACATTAAAGAGTCAGCAGTCACATTGCATATTGGTCCTCTCAGATGGTACTTTTCTGGTCCCATTTCCCCCACAATCCATTATTCCGTAGGTAACGGCTCCTAAAGTGAATATAGCCGTTAATTAGCTCTCAGCTGCCTTTTCTTCTCCTTAAAAAGATCTTGCTGTCACTCTATTTTTTCAGTGAAACCTACTGGCCTTAACAATCACTTTTCTTTCTGTTGCTGTTTCAATACCAGTATGGCTAAAGCAGCTATCGCACTTTTCTTCCTGCTCTTGTCATTGATTTCAGGTATGTATCTCCTAGATTTCAGTAGCAGTTCTCAAGTGTTCTTTGATGTACACTTTCACAAGTGAAAAAGCTCATTTACATGTTACCGTTTGATGTACTACATTGTAGCTGCTGTCCCAGCACACATCATTTCGGCTGTTGACAAAGGGCTCCAGTCCTGTTGGTGCTGTAGTATCTTGCAATACTTGAATCAAAAGCACCCTTTTTTGCATTTTTACCACTAAAGTCAATCCAACAATTTTCCTCTTTTGTCTCTTATTGGAAAGATGATGTACCGCATCTTTTTCTACTTTTATGATGCCTTAATATATCTCGGATCTGGCTTGGGATTGTTTTATCAGCATCTTTATTACCTGATTATGTAACCGGTCTTGTGTGGAATTGGTTTGGGTTAGGAAGTTGACACTGAATTCTAAAGTTAACTGGCTAAGGATGAGATTTGCATTTGCTAATTGTATTTTGTGCTCTTGCAGTTTGCAATTCATCAATTGTGAGTGGACAGGTAACACTAAGATCAATCAAACAATTAACTGAAGGAGGCCTAGCATCTTCTGTATTGTTTATGCTGATATCTTGCATTCATTCCTTCATTGCAGAAAACTTGGTGCGTGGCTAAACCTTCATCAGATCAGGCAGCTCTATTAAACAATATAAATTATGCTTGCTCTCAGGTTGATTGCAGGATTCTGCAGAAGGGTTGCCCATGTTCCTCTCCAGATAGTCTCATAAATCATGCTTCCATAGCCATGAATCTCTATTACCAATCGAGGGGCAGGAACCATTGGAATTGCTATTTTGGTAACTCTGGTCTCATTGTCATTACTGATCCAAGTAAGTTCTGCAGCAGACCCCAAACATTCAACAACTTTTCATTGCACTAAATATATACTCTTAGTCTTACACAACTACAATAAAGTTTAGTACATCTGAAAAACATCCCTCCTTCTGATCTCCAGCATTGATTAGTATATCAACTATCA